CAGAGTATTTTTTAACACAAGTATCTGTACTTTTACTCAAGTACGGAAAGTGAGTACTTTTGCCATCTCTGTTGAAATTGTATCCCGTCGACCAAATTTAAGAAATATATCGTGGTATACGTTTGTACGGAAGCCGAGAGCGGTCGTGTCCCACGGAAAATTTTTCTCTTTGCTTTTCTCGAGAAAACGAGTTCATTTTTTCATTATCTAAAGATAACGTAAGCTGTTTTATAGTGATAACGAGATGATTGGTGTGTGTTAAAACTGATTACATCCTTCAATACCACAACAGCGGGAGAGTATTTATAAGTGTAAGTCACCTATGTGTAACCTATGTGTAATTCTAAAAATAATCCTGTGTTTGACTTTTAGGTAACGAGACAACATTGTTGATTTTATGATTTGCTTCCACTTCTGATTCATAAGCAATTAGACCTATACCTCCAGGTGTTTTCTGAACAGCCCAGGTGTTATGCCTTTTAGAACTATAACATGCATTAACCCCCAAAATTAGTCCAGATTGAAGATTTTCATTGAAAAACAGTCAGATTTGTTTCTACTTTATTCCATGGAATCCAATCATCCACCACAACCTGACAATGAGTGAAAATAAAAGTAAAACTAAAAAAATTATTTGCACACACGGAATCCAGGGCTGTTGGCAAACCTCATTCATTACTCAATAAAGGTTAATCATCTCATTATCTCGAGATATCAATAACTGTTTTCTCTTGATAACCAGATAATTATTTTGTTATCTCAAGAAAACAATTAATTGTTAAGCCGGGATAACGAGATAGTTATGTCGTTATCTCGAGAAGGCAAAAAAAAAGAAAAAAGTTGAGTATGACTGCTCTCGGCTTCCGTACATTCGAGCTAAAAACTGTGCTCTCTGCTACTATTTTATCATGAATAACAGCAAAATCCCATTAGAAGCACCAGTTTAACCCGAGAGTAGTAAAACTTTTAACTGTTTTCAGATTATTAAACCGATAAAGGCACACCGCTGACTTTGTTACCTAAAGATTTGACACATATGAGTTATTTTAAATGATTCTTCAGGCCAATATACAAAGCTTGACACTATCAATGCTACAAGCGGAGCTTCCCTCTTGAAATATAGACTATGTAAGTTGGAAGAAGTGAAACCTCCGTCAGGCCGGCCAGGCTCACTGCAGACAACCACTGCTCTATGTAGAGGTTGGAAGTAAATTCATGTGTTATTTAAGTATGTTAGGGTTAGGGTTATAAACTACAAGTAAGATCAAACCTATTTCCAGGACCCAGATCGGCTTACTTGATGCTCAGTGTCGAGCTGCAAAAGTACACTTGAAAGGTCACAGCATGCTGCACCTAATTTATTTATATAAAGACTCCCCATGCCATTTTGTGAAAATACGCTGCAAGACCTCATCATACCCTGTTAATGTTTCTGCTTGAGGATCATATTTTACAGATATATCTATATCAGTTTCACAAGACTGTTCATTCATTCCTACATTTGGATAGTTTAACAACACAATGCAAGGCTACCCAAGGATTAGCTCTGTCATTGTAAACAGCATTTAATAAATCCCAAAGAACACATGTGGAGACAGTAAGGCAGGTTGAGAAAGGCCATTATTAACATGAGTAGACTTCTATTGCTGCAGAATGAACAGAACAGGCCCACTGAGGAAATGCCAACATGTTTAATGTTCCAGCAGCATGTTGGTCTGAGAATGATGGATTACAGAATGTCCTGCTGTAATCCAGGCAAAGGGTCTATTCTGTCTGTTACATTCTGCAAGAAGCATAGAAGTTTCATAATATACAGCAGATCTACACACTGTATATCTGCTCAAAGAGAAAGAGCAAAATCGGTTGTTTGGTAAAACAAACCATAGAAAAGCTGAAATCAGGTGTCACTGTAAAAATATGAATGAATCATGAATGTTTAAAAGCAAACAGGAAGCAAAAAACAGCAAAAAAGTAGACTGAAATTTCTTTTGCAAGACATTTAAAATATAACATATCCCTGTGGATTTTGGTGAAGAGCTGTTAAGAATGACATGTCAGATTTTAATTAGAAGCACTAACGCTCCTGTCAGAGAAGAGGAACTTTAAAAAGTACCCAACATACACACCTACAGACACAAAATGTACAACAGATCCTACCAAGAATATCAACATGTAACCCGAGTTACAAGTTTAAATGGTGCAGGTTTGAAAAGGAGCTTCAGAGAGAAGAAAATTGAAGAACCTCCTGTTTGACTCACAGCTTGACGGACTCAGACTCACCTGTCTCTAATGTATTCTCCGTCCCTGTGCACCTGGTTCTCCAAGGAAAAGTTGAAATGAAAATTCTCCACTCTTTCTCTGTGGAATGTCTGAACAGACAGAAAACAACATCAATATGAGCAGAAGTTTCTTTTTTTTCAAAGACAGTTGAAACTATTTTTTTCAGAAACATCCTATCCTGGCTTCTCTTCATTGTCTTCCTGTTAAATCCTGAATAGAATTTAAAATCCTCCTTCTCACATATAAAGCCGTAAATATCCGATCTCCATCTGATGATCA